GCTTTGATCGTCAAGAGCTGGAGAATTTATTTTGGGTTGTTTTTAGGTGGTAGGTTATGGTCGTAACAAGAGACACACAGCTAAATAAAAAAAAAAAAGTTTTTTTTTCACTATTTTGGGCCAGTTTTCCTTTGGTAATAAAAAAAAAAAAATCAGGAGATATTCATTACCATTTACCACCAAATGAAAGCCCAATTTGTCATGAAAAAAACCAAGGTATAATTCACCTGGATTTGCAAAGTAGTTGATATGGACAGTTTTACTGACATATGTCAACATTTGTTTTACCCTTAGTCGTGAAGGGGTTAATCTCTCTAACACCTGGCAAAGAGGGAAAAAAGAAAAATGTTTGTTAAAAAAAAAATAATAAAATAAATGAATATTAAAAAATAAAAGAAAAAATAAAGAAAAAACACCTAGATCAAGGTTTGATCTAGTTCAGTGCAAGGGTAAGTGTTTGGGTCAAGGTCAAAGGTCAAGGTCAGGATTTTATTTATTTATTTTTTAAATTAGTATCAGTGTGTTTTAGGTAAAAGAAAAAGAATGCACACTATTGTTTCTGAGCTGTACTACGGGTACAAATAACATACACATGTATGGTATTTTTGTTTTACCCTTAGGTGTGAGGGGGTTAATCTCTCTTACACCTGGCATAGAGGGGAAAAAAAAAAGTTTGTTAAAAAAAAAAAAAAAAAAAAAAGATATATATATTAAAAAATAAAAGAACAAATACCTAGAACAAGGTTTGATCTAGTTCAGTGCAAGGGTAAGTGGTTGGGTCAAGGTTAGGGTCAAAGGTCAAGGTCAGGTTTTTTTTTTTTTTTTTTTTTTAATTGGTATCAGTGTGTTTTAGGTTAAAAAAAACAAAACAATGCACACTATTGTTTCTGGGCTTTACTACGGGTACAAACAACAAATAACATACACATATATGGTATTTGTTTAACCCTTAGGCGTGAAGGGGTTAATCTCTCTAACTCCTGGCAGAGGGGAAAAAACCCAAAAAAACCCAAGGTAAATAAATATTAAAAAATAGTAGTGTATTTTAATACAGATATAAAATCTCATCACTACATACACAGACATACTTCAAATTACCAACATCTTTCATATGCGCCATTTTGCTTTAAATGTGGCCCCTTCTAATGAGGTGCCACCAAACGTCCATCCTTTGTAGACCTTCTCCTAGGCTCTCTGGTCAGGACGTGGACCTTCCATCTTGGTGACTTCTCAGGTGTTGGACGAGGCTCTGCTTTTGTGTATATCCTTTCCCACACTCGGTACAGAAAAACGGTCTCTCGCCAGTGTGAAGTCTCAGATGCCGGACCAGCTTGGTTTTTTCGGCAAACCGCCGGTCACACTCTGGGCAAGGGTAAGGCTTGTCGCCGGTGTGGATTCTCCGATGCCGGACGAGATATGATTTATACGGAAAGCATTTCCCACAGTCCGGGCATGGGTAGGGTCTCTCCCGCGTGTGAAAGACCTGGTGCTGGACAAGCCTGGCTTTGCACGGAAAGGTCTTTTCGCACTCAGTGCAAGGGTAAGACTGGTCGTCGGAGCGAGGCCTTGGCTGTTTTTGGAAAAGTTTTCCACTCTTGGGCCCAGAACATGGCTTTTCATCCAGGTGGTCCTTCTCATGTACAGTGAGCATGGACTCATCCGTAAAGCATTTCCCGCACTCTGAACAGGAGAAAGGCTTCTCGACCGTGTGGAGCCTCCAATGGCGAAGGAGCTTGGATTTTTGGGCAAAGCACCGATCGCATTCCGGGCACGGGAAAGGTTTCTCGCCCGTGTGGCTTCGTAAGTGGATGACAAGGTCCGTCTTCTGTACGAAACGTTTCTCGCACTCGGGGCAAGGGAAGGGCCTGTCTCCAGAGTGGAGCTTCTGATGGCGCACCAGCCGTGGCTTGTGGGAAAACCGTCGGCCGCACTCGGAGCATTGAAAGGGCTTCTCACCCGTGTGGATCCTCCGGTGGACCGTCAGGTCCTTCTTGTCTCTGAAGCTCCGGTCACAGTCCTGACAGGCGAATGGTTTCTCGCCCGTGTGGAACCTCTCGTGTCGGGTGAGTTGAGATTTTTGGGAAAAGCTCTGACCGCATTCCGAGCAACGGAAAGGCTTTTCTCCCGTGTGGACCCTCTGGTGGACTAGAAGGTCGGCCTTCTGGATGAAGCTCCTCCTGCACTCTTGGCAAGCGAAGGGCTTTTCGGCCTGGTGCAAGAGCTGGTGATGCAGAAGGGTTGACTTGTACAAGAACTGTTTGCTGCACTCCTGGCACTGGAAAGGCTTGTTAGGAGTGTGGAGTTTTTTATGCCTGTTAAGGGCCACCTTGTTTGAGAAGCATTTATGGCATTCGGGGCACTGAAACGATTTTTCGCCCAAGTGGAGTTTCTCGTGACGAATGCGCTCTGCGTTCTGGGTGAAACATTTACCGCATTTGGAGCAGGGGAAAACCCAACCCGTGCTGTGTATACCATCATCTGCAGACGCTTTCTCCGGATTGGAGGGATCAGTTGATCTGCAGGGCCATACTGGATGGATATTTGAAGGGAGGGGGCACTCTCCTGGGGTCTTTCGTCTGTTGTCGCTATATTCTCCTTCAAAATCAAGATGTTCTTCTGAGGTTCTCCTGACGTAGTGTCCATCTGTCAGGGTGTAAAACAAATGTTAAAAAATGTAGAGATCACCAGGGCAAAAAAGGTTGAAGGAAATGAGCAATGTAATCATCAACCTGGAAATTTCCCCCTCTGTTGGCCATTACACAGAACTACAGCTAAGATCTCTGCTGTGCACACCTGCCCTCAGTAGTGGACTTTAACACCTTACCTACCAATCTACTATAGGCCGGGCGGGACACTTGCTGTTGTGATAGGGCGTCATATGACGTCCTGTCAAAACGAGCTGCTCACGCGGTACACAGACGATGACATATCACTACACCGGCCCATTGCCAGTGTCATGCGACCGCTGTGACCAATCACAGCAGATCACATGTCAATTGTATACAATGGATGGCTTCCTTTCATGCCATCCATTTTATTCAATTATGTTGTTAGCAGTGACTGGTTAAGGCAGTCAAATGATACAGACAGGGCAGGGCCAATCACAGCCCATCTGTATCATGTGATCAGCTTTGCCCAATCAGTTTCATTCAGTAAAAACGATTGCAAATATCAATGAAATACATTGGTATTAGCAATCATAATGTGTTAAAAAATAAAATAAAATCCTGATCACTTGCCCAGAGTAGTTCAATGTTACTATGGTAACACTGTATTGCTTTGGTCACAGTGCTGAAAAATAAAATAGTAAAAAAAAGAAAAATGTAATAAAAAATAAAAAAAATAATAGAAACATTTGAAAAAAACAAACAAAGTTCAATTATTATTATTTTCACCAAAGAAATGTAGCAGAATACATTTTGGCCTAAATCTATGAAGAAATGTTATTTATGTTATTAAAAATTGGCAAACTATAACAGAAAGGAAGAAACGTGCGTTTTTTTTTTTCAAACGTTTCAGGTGATTTTTGTTTTATTTAGCGAAAAATAAAAAACTCAGTGGAGATTAAATACCACCAAAAAAAAAAGCTCTATTTGTGTGAAAAAATAATGATAAAAATTTCATATGGGGAAAACTTTATTTTCACATTTTTTGCCCTTTTTTTTATAGGGCAAAAAATAAAACACTCGGCGGCGATCAAGTACCACCAAAAGAAAGCTCTATTTGTGTGAAAAAAATTATACAAATTTCATATGACCGCGCAATTGTCATTCAAAGTGCTGAAAGCTGAAAATCGGCCTGGGCAGGAAGGGGGGTATAAGTGCCCGGTATTGAAGGGGTTAAAGAGAGGCAGCAGCTTCAAGGCTGTGCCTGAGCAACAGGCTTCTGTGGATTGAGGCCCAGCTGTCTCTTGAATTCTGTCTAGCTTTCAATGCGTTGGATTATTCCAATGTATTGTCTGCACTGCACGTGTTTCGTCACAGATCACGTGACTTTATCAAGGGGGATATTCCCTTGGTAAAGTCACGTGATCTGTGACGAAACGCGTTGAAGAGGAGCGTGTGGATGAAGTCACGATGGCGGTTGTTATTTCAAGGAGAATACTTAAATTATTGGACTTTAACCAAATTCATTTTTTGGACAATTAATCCATTTTATTTAACATATATTTTTTTGAGTCACTTAGTTTCTGTTTTTGACATCACTGTTTTATGTATAGATATATGGTTTAGGCATTGTTTTCATTGATATTATTCATTATTTAGCCCACTGAGACATGGGTTGTGTGCTACAGTTTCATACTTATTGATCTGTATTTACATTTGTATTCACCATAGTTAGCGCTTGAGGTTATTCACATTATTCATTGGGGCCACTGGGTTCTGAGGCCCTTTTTCCTCCCAGACCATTGGAGGGAGAACAATGGTGTAGTGACTGACCAAGGACAATCAGAGAATGCTGTCTGCATGTCTGTTACCCACCTGCGCTGATCTCTGTTGGGATTTCCTCCTCCTTCACCATCACAGATGTGATCTCCCCTTCTTCTTCTTCTTCCTCTTTAACCTCAACTTTGATATTGATCAGGTTGTCTTCCTGCATGATGGACAAAAACATTTCTTAACACAACATTCACAAAGGATAATCAGATGATAAGATCCAAAAAGCTTCTCTCCAGATCATACAGAGCACTTCACGGGAGGCCCTCGGTACCACCTGCCTGATCATAAGGAGGGGTGCTGTGTTCTTCCTGTAGGGAATCCCAGGAGTACAGAGGACGGGGACACTCTCCGGTGGGTTCCCATTACTGGATCTATCTACCTGATGGTGGTGAGAGATGGTGGAACCTTCCTGTGTGGAATGCCGGGAATACAGAGGACGAGGACATCTCTCTGGTGGGTTCCCATTACTGGATCCATCTACCTAATGGTGGTGAGAGATGGTGGGACCTTCCTGTGTGGAATCCCGGGAATACAGAGGACAAGGACATCTCTCTGGTGGGTTCCCATTACTGGATCCATCTACCTGATGGTGGTGAGAGATGGTGGGACCTTCCTGTGTGGAGTCTCGGGAATACAGAGGACGGGGACATCTCTCTGGTGGGTTCCCATTACTGGATCCATCTACCTGATGGTGGTGAGAGATGGTGGAACCTTACTGTATAGAGTTCCGGGAATACAGAGGATGGGGACATCTCTCCAGTGGGTTCCCATTACTGGATCCATCTACCTGATGGTGGTGAGAGATGGTTGGACCTTCCTGTGTGGAGTCCTGGGAATACAGAGGATGGGGACATCTCTCTGGTGGGTTCCCATTATTGGATCCATCTACCTGATGGTGGTGAGAGATGGTGGAACCTTCCTCTGTGGAGTCCCGGGAATACAGAGGACGGGGACATCTCTCTGGTGGGTTCCCATTACTGGATCCATCTACCTGATGGTGGTGAGAGATGGTGGGACCTTCCTGTGTGGAATCCCGGGAATACAGAGGACGGGGACATCTCTCTTGTGGGTTCCCATTACTGGATCCATCTGTAGGAAACACACACACTGACTTTACACACTGTTTCTATGTCTTTATATCAGAGGATCTGTGTATCTAGGTGGATCCTTAAGAAAATTCTCTCCTTTACAAGAAAGTCTCCTCTTACCTGGTGATGTTAAGGTTGGCCAGTTCTCCATCGCAGCGTCCGTCTGTTTCTCCAAATCCTTCCATTCCTATGTGCAAAATAGACAGTGACACCCTGACACCTTATAGGAACTTGACACACACAATGATACACTCACCATCCAGACACATCCCTTGTCTGTTACTGGAGAATGTCCCAGAATTCCCGGCACCGCTCACCTCTCCTGTCAGCAGCTTAGTGATCACGTCAATGACTTCTAGAATCTTCTCTGTGTTATTCCCTGTTATTATGGAAGGAGATGGAGGCTGCATATGGTGGTTCTTGTTTTGTCTCCGTCCTCCAGACACACAGGAATGGTTGTTTTGTGACATGTACTCATCAGATGTCTCTTTCACCAGTCTGTAAACCTTTATTGAAAACAGATAGGAATGATGTCATGTGACCTCCCAGAATCCTCCTCACCTCTCCGGTCAGGTGTGTATTTTATTAATAAAGATAACAGTGACGTCAAGTGACCTCCAAGAATCCTCCTCACCTCTCCGGGTCAGGTCTGTGTTTAATTAATAGACATAAGAGTGATGTCATGTGGCCTCCCAGAATCCTCCTCACCTCTCCGGTCAGGTCTGTGTTTTTTTAATAGAGAGATGAGTGATGTCATGTGATCTCCCAGAATCCTCCTCACCTCTCCGGGCAGGTCCGTGTTTTATTAATAAAGATAAGAGTGACGTCATGTGACCTCCCAGAATCCTCCTCACCTCTCCGGTCAGGTCCGTGTTTTATTAATAGAGATAAGAGTGACGTCATGTGACCTCCCTGAATCCTCCTCACCTCTCTGGTCAGGTCTGTGTTTTATTAATAGAGATATGAGTGATGTCATGTGACCTCCCAGAATCCTCCTCACCTCTCCGGTCAGGTCTGTGTTTTATTAATAGAGATATGAGTAATGTCATGTGACCTCCCAGAATCCTCCTCACCTCTCCGGTCAGCAGGTAGATGATCTCCAGAGTAAGGTTCAATATCTTCTCAGTGACGGGCCTCTGATCCTCATCCATCACGAACACCATGAAAACTCAGTATGATTCCAAAGGACTCTACAAAGGGAATCATACGTATGTATCCGCGTTCATACCATAAACGGTGTCAAATGATCTCAAAGGTATCAAGAAATTAGTCAAATCTGAATAAAACCAAGAGCCTGTTTTTCTAAGATAACCCTGAGTTGCCACATTTCATCCACTGAGGGCCACGATGACCCAAAGAGAAAACTTCACATTACAGACGAATGTACCAGTTGCAATATATATATACTGTATATATGGAAAAGAAATGTTTACCTATTGCGTATTAGGTCTTTATTTCAGTGTTTGTTGGTTTCTGGAGAGTTAAACCTCTAACAGTCTCTACTGGTGAGACCCCAGAGGCCAAGTTCCTGGGCCTTCACACCTCCTGTGCTCATTACGAGGGCCTTCCACCATCTTTGCACTTGGAGTTTCCAGGTCTTCATGCCCACAGTGTCCATCATGAAGGGTACCCACCATCTCTGTACTGAGTTCACGGGTTTTCGGACCTGCTCTGACCACTAGAAAAACTCACCATTCATGCTGGATTTTTTAATTACATCCTCAATCAGGAAGCACGAGGAGGAGACGGAACACCCCAAACAGGTAAACACATTCATAATTCCACTTTGTGCAGAAAGAGAGATGGGAAATCTCTGCTGTTCCTAACAGATATATGAAGCCAGCAGAAGACTCAGCCACCACACGTTGGGAAGAACTTGTTCTGGATCTGAAGCATGAGTCAGACAACCGCACCTCCATTTCATGACAGTGAGCCATAAAAACAAATTGGACCTTTGCTTTTGTTAATCAGCTGAAGGCCAGGAGATGGTAAGGCCACCTAAGAAAAATAAACTCGTCTGAGCAGCTCGCTCCAGAGTCTTGTCACTACATTTTCGACAAGACCAGTGTTGTAGCAATTCCACCAAAAAATGAAGAGATGGGAAAGAGGGGCCTCAACCAGGGCCCATGTTTCGAGCCAGAAGATTTAAGTGCTTGCAGTTTCAGAAAGGGCAAATGGAACTCACAAATGCTTCTCGGGCAAAAGACAACTTTTAGGGGCATCTACAGACATTGATCAATGGACAACACCATGGAAAACCTATCTCTGTGCTCCTCGTGCATCAATAATTTACTAATTGAGATATCAGTATGGATGTCACACACACTTCCTTAAACTCAGTCTTTTCAAAGTTGAGCTCATAATTTTTCCTCCTCCATGTGCCCCCTTCCCTGACTTCTCCATTGACATCAATGGCACAACTATCAGTCCCTCCCACCCATCCTGCAAGGGTGCTAAAGTATCCCTCCTTCAGTTAATCGTGACTTTAGCTTCCAGATTCATCCACCTTACCAACTGTCAGTGTCCACCACCCCTCTCTGCCAATCCCTCCACTGGCTTCAAGAAAATTCAAGATACAAGCAACAACCTACAAAGCCATCCACAGCTCTGCCCTGAACAACATCACCAATTTCATCTTACAAATATCAACCAAACCATACTCTCTACTCCTCCCAACACATCCTGTTCTCCAGCGCCTTCATCTCCTCCTCCCATGCTCACCTTTAGGACTTCTCTAGAGCCTCTCTCGTCCTCTGTAACTTTCCACCTATCCCCAACTCTGCCCCAAGCTACATCCCCAATCTGAATCTGTCCTCTCAAGACTTTCTCCTCCCTAGCTCTCTCATTACCTCCTTCCATGCTCACCTCCAGGGCTTCTCCAGAGCCTCTCCCATTCTCTGGAACTCCTTACTCTATCCACAACCTCATCTGAAAATATCACACAAAATAGTCCTCTTTGCTCCTCCTGAGACCTCCTCCTCAAGCCCACTCAACACCTCCTCCCATGCTCACTTCCAGGACTTCTCCAGAGCCTCTCTCATCCTCTGGAACACTCTACACATCCACTATTCTGCCCCAAGCTACATCCCCAACTTCATCTCAAAATATCACCTAATCTGTCCTCTCTGCTCAAGACTTACTCCTCTCTAGCTCCCTCATTACCTCTTCCCATGCTCATTTCCAGGACTTCCCCAGAGCATCTCCCATTCTCTGGAACTCCTTACCCTATCCACAACTCTGTCCCAAGCTACATCCCCAACCTCATCTGAAAATTTCACCCAAATAGTCCATTCTGCTCCTTCTGAGACCTCCTCCTCTCTATCTCCCTAAACACCTCCTCCCATGCTCACTTCCAGGACTTCTCCAGAGCCTCTCTCATCCTCTGGAACTCTCTACACATCCACTACTCTGCCCCAAGCTACATCCCCAACCTCATCTCAAAATATCACCTATTCTGTCCTCTCTGCTCAAGACTTACTCCTCTCTAGCTCCCTCATTACCTCCTCCCATGCTCACTTCCAGGACTTCCTCAAGCATCTCCCAGTCTCTGGAACTCCTTACCCTATCCACAACTTTGACCCAAACTAAATCCGAGACCTCCTTCTCTCTAGCTCCCTCAACACCACCTCCCATGCTCACTTCCAGGACTTCTCCAGAGCCTCTCTCATCCTCTGGAACTCTCTACACATCCACTAGCTCCCTCATTACCTCCTCGCATGTGCTCTTCCAGGACTTCTCCAGAGCATCTCCCCTTCTCTGGAACTCCTTACCCTATCCACAACTCTGTCCCAAGTTATATCCCCAACCTCATCTGAAAATATCACACAAAATAGTCCTCTTTGCTCCTCCTGAGACCTCCTCCTCTAGCCCCCTCAACACCTCCTCCCATGCTCACTTCCAGGACTTCTCCACAGCATCTCCCCTCTCTGGAACTTCTTACCCTATCCACAACTCTGTCCCAAGCTACATTCCCAACCTCATCTCAAACAAATCACCCAAATAGTCCTCTCTGCTGCTCCTGAGACCACCTCCTCTCTCTGAAACACCCTACCCTAAACTGTCTTGCTGTCTTCTACTCGGTTCACCTTTAGACGATCCCCAAAAACTGATCTCACCAGGAAGACCTCCACCCAATAAGCTGAACTTCTGCTTTCTTCATCAGCTCATCCCTCACAGTCATCCATCCCTCACCGAGAGGACTTGGAACCTTCCAAGGTGATTTAGATTTCCAGATTGCCTATCTACGTATGTATGGGGCTGAATTTCAGGAAACACTGGGGCTTGGAGGTTTCTAAATTGTTCTGTGCATCACGTATTGGGTCAGAAAGCCTGAAAACGGTCAGACCAGCTCGAGAGGCGAAACTGCGTATCTGACCACCTGCCGCTGACAACAAATGAAACCCCAGTTGTAAAGGTCAGCTTTTAAAGTTTTATAATAGCAATTATATAAAAGAAGTTTATTACCTCTTCCAGGGTGGGCACAGCACATCAGTCCTTTAAATAAAAAGATATATATGACTGCATCAGAGGAGGGGATTCTGGAGGTGGAGAGGATTCTGGGAAGGACAGAGCAAAGTAGAAAATGATAGGGGACTCTGGGAGCTGTAGTCTGGCTTCCAGGTAGGACACCCTTTAACAACTAGCAGTTGGACTACAACAAAATGGCTGCCGAGGTCGTACAACCTAATAATAGAATAAATAGTCTGATTATAATAATACACTTATTAGGTTTTAACTAATTTAATTCCAGAATATATTTAATTTTCTTAAAATGTTGTGAGCTACAACAAAATGGCCGCAGCGCTGACTTTCCTCCTCTGTATGAGGGATCTATTGCCAAGAGTAGGAGGGGCGTGGCCAGGTGGTTGCTATCACAGCAAAGAAGTGGCATTCAGAATCTTCCTATCAGATGAAACGCACAACCAAGAAGTGGTGTGGAGAATCTTCCTGTCAGGTGGACAGCATAACCAGGAAGTGGTGTGGAGAATCTTCTTGTCAAGTG